TATTACGTATTGGATCACTAAAAAATACAATTTTTACATTACCATGTAGTTTACCAATAAAATGGTCTGATGGTGATGTGGATATACTCGGAATACATATCCCAAAGGAAATAAATGATCTCACTTCAATACATTTTAATAGAAAGTTAGCAAAAATAGATTAAAAAAAAAAAATCACCCTGATTAACTCTTTAGTATTATCCCAGTTTACCTATTTGCTTATGGTCTTGTCTACGCCTAGCGAACAGTTTTTTAAATTATATGAGAAAAAAATATTCAATTTTATTTGGAACGGCAAGCCAGACAAAATTAAAAGGGCATATTTATATAATGAATATGAATTCGGAGGACAGAAATTATTAAATATTAAAGCATTAGACCTATCACTAAAAGCTTCAGTCATACAAAAGTTATACTTAAATCCGAACTGGTTCTCAAGCAAATTAGTAAGATTGTCTCACCCAATGTTCAAGAAAGGCCTTTTTCCCTTTATTCAGATTACAACCTCTCACTTTCAGTTATTTGAAAAAGAAATCATCTCCCAAATATCACTATTTCTAAAAAAAAAAACATAGAAAGTTGGTTGCAATTTCAATTTAATCCTCCAGAAACGACAGAACAAATAATGCAACAAATATTGTGGTTAAATTCAAATATACTAATTGACAAAAAACCTTAATTTTTTGACAGAATGTTTAAAAAAGGTATAATCTTCATAAATGATATCATCGGTAGGACTGGTGGAGTTATGTCACACATGCAGCTAACAAAAACATATGGAAATGTCTGCTCTACCCAAAATTACAACCAAATAATTGCAGCCTTACCGCAAAAGTGGAAGAGGAAAGTGGAAGGGGGAGAAAGTAAGGAATCAGTATATCAGTTTCACTTAAGGACCAAAGGATTGACAGCCGTCCCATATAGATTGCAAAATAGTTGGGAAGAGATTTTTGACGTACCGATCCCATGGCATAGTGTTTATGAACTGACACGCAAAACGACACCGGATTCAAAAATTAGAATCTTTCAATTAAAATTATTATATAAAATTCTTGCTACCAATAGAATGTTATTTATATGGGGGATACAATCTTCCTAGCTCTGCAGATTTTGCTGTGAAGAGACATAATCATTAGATCATTTGTTTTGGTTCTGTCCATTTGTAGCTTGTTTTTGGACACAGGTCCAGGAATGGCTAAAGGATTGCAATATTTACCTGGAGCTAACCTTGCAGATAGCATTACTGGGTGATCTGAAAAGTCATAGTCAATCGATCAATAATATAATAATACTTTTAGCAAAAATGTTTATTTTTAATTCACAATCTGTAGAAGCAATGAGAATAGAAAGGTTCAGAACTTTTGTAAAACATCACAGTACGGTTGAAATATATATGGCAAATAGAAATCCTATATGGATGGTGTTAAGAGATAGATGGGAGGTATTGAATAGAGTTGAAGGATGGGACTAATAACATTTTTTTATTTTGCAGGTTTTCCTACTTACAAAGCATGTAGAGGTCTGTAATTTTTTATCATAGGTACACTTAAACTGTGAGAGATGGAATCTAAAACAAAAATCCAGAAAATCACATTGGATGATTTTTAAGTAATTAATTTGCATTTTATTGCATGACATAAGTATTTGATCACCTACCAACCAGTACGAATTCCGGCTCTCACAGACCTGTTAGTTTTTCTTTAAGAATCCCTCCTGTTCACCACTCATTACCTGTATTAACTGCACCTGTTTGAACTCGTTACCTGTATAAAAGACACCTGTCCACACACTCAATCAAACAGACTCCAACCTCTCCACAATGGCCAAGACCAGAGAGCTGTGTAAGGACATCAGGGATCACATTGTAGACCTGCACAAGGCTGGGATGGGCTACAGGACAATAGGCAAGCAGCTTGGTGAGAAGGCAACAACTGTTGGCGCAATTATTAGAAAATTGAATAATTTCAAGATGACGGTCAATCACCCTCGGTCTGGGGCTCCATGCAAGATCTCACCTTGTGGGGCATGAATGATCATGAGGAAGGTGAGGGATCAGCCCAGAACTACACGGCAGGACCTGGTCAATGACCTGAAGAGAGCTGGGACTACAGTCTCAAAGAAAACCATTAGTAACACACTACGCCGTCATGGATTAAAATCCTGCAGCGCACGCAAGGTCCCCCTGCTCAAGCCAGCGCATATCCAGGCCCGTCTGAAGTTTGCCAATGACCATCTGGATGATCCAGAGGAGGAATGGGAGAAGGTCATGTGGTCTGATGAGACAAAAATAGAGCTTTTTGGTCTAAACTCCACTCGCCGTGTTTGGAGGAAGAAGAAGGATGAGTACAACCCCAAGAACACCTTATTTCCCTCATTAAAATGCAAATCAATTTATAACATTTTTGACATGTGTTTTTCTGGATTTTTTTGTTGTTATTCTGTCTCTCACTGTTCAAATAAACCTACCATTAAAATTATAGACTGATCATGTCTTTGTCAGTGGGCAAACGTACAAAATCAGCAAGGGATCAAATACTTTTTTCCCTCACTGTACATAACTGATGTCCTCTCTCAATGACTTACAGATTGCTGTCATCTTGCCGTTCTCCTGTTTAAACTCATCAAGCTGACCCTGGGAGAACTGCAAACTGTGCTTCAGGTCCTGGACCTCACTGGTCAGGTCGTCCATTCTTTCATTAGTTGACTCCACCAGTATTTGGACACAACACTTGAAGCTATTTTCTTGTTGTTGTAATAACTGCTTGTAGAACTCTGTTTGTTTAAAAGATCCCTCACCTGTGATAGAGAGACGCTACTGTCCTCAACGGTACTCCCGGCCGCTTTGTTCTTTGTCATGGTAACAACGTAGGTTACGCTGTTACTCCTCGCAGTTACAGACAGGGCAGGTCGTGGAAAATTATCACTATACTTATTAAAAATCAAAGTTCTTCCAGAGTTTTTGTAGAATTAAGATAGACTTTATTACATACGCAATAGAGCCGAGGTGGTTTGCAAAACATCTGAACTCCCAACACTTGGCCCTCAGTTTATATACAATGTCCATTCCTGCTCGTTTTACGTAATTTTTTAGCTTAAACCCTCCCAGTTCAATTTCTCCACTATTGTTTCCAATCATTCATCTTTTGACCGCTCCGCCCACTCTCTCTATTTATGATAGTGGCGAAATCTGACCCTATTCAGTCTCCTCCTATGTATCTAGTTTGAAAACAATAGTGGCCAAACCAAGCTTTCTCATGTAGAAAAAAACAGAGCCATCTCCTGGCTCTGCTCGGTTTATTCCAAAACATATCAATCGATACTTAAATATGGTTTAAACATGGCAGGTCCATAACCATATTTTCAACCATCCCAAAGCAGGATCACTGGACAGATCGTGTCGCGGGATCAAAACTCAAAAAGGTAACTAGCTAGTAACCAAACTTTCCAATAGACTTTCAAAACAAAAAACTTTGCCAAACAGCAAACCAAGCGCCGCTATTTTCCTCATGAGGGTAGATATTTTGTTTAACTATTGTCAGGTGATCAACTTTAAAATATCTTTCATTTTCATTATTGGAACCATGTTACAATAGGAATAGGGGGTAAAGGGAGGATTTTGAGACTCACTCATTCACTCGTTGGGAGCGAGACAAAACGCAAACGGAAACCAACGGTACGAAACAGTGCCTCTTTATTCTGACGCACTCACTCCAAATTGTATTATTTACATTGCATGCCACAATACAGGAACTGACTAAGTACACAATCAATAACACTTAGAATCTGCTCTGAAAATGAGAGGTAATGGTAGCAACAACAACAAAAAACTTGAGATTAAAATAAATGAAAAAAAAAATACTCTGTGATCCATGTAAATAGATACATTAATCCCGTTTATTTTCATAGACTTGAAAAAAGTCACATGTACTGTCCAGGAAGCAGATAAAGGGCCCTGCTGTCTAAGAGGCTCAGGGGTTAAGTTTACCCTAGCTACAGAACCAGGATCAGTTTCTCCTACCCCAATCCAAACCTCAACCATTAGTGGTTGACCCCAGATCAGCGTCTAGAGGCAACTGCACCTCTAGTGAACCGTGCAGGTGGAACTGCCCTCAAATCCAGTCTGTGTCGTTGACGGGGAAATCAGATTCAGTTCGCAGTCCAATAAACTCAAAAGTATTTCAACAATCCAAGTCTTACAAAGACAGTGTCCTTTTTCAAGCACTGTGCCCTGGACACCAAAGGAGTGAACTTCAGATCCGTATGAGGGAGAACCAATGATAGATTTATTTATAAAAACGTAGAAATAACTAAGAAAAAAAACAAACAATTCCAAATATGACTTTGCACATAATAACGCTAAAAAAAGTAAAGGTGGACAACTTTCTTCTAAGAGAGAACCTTTGAGAAAAAAAAGTTGTCTTCTCTTAATATTTCCTCTCAGTTTTAAGATGGACAGTCTCTAGTATACACACACACACACACACACACACACACACACACACACACCTCTCAGACACACACACACTCACACCTCTCTCTCTCTCACTCACTCACACACACACACACCTCTCAGACACACACACACACACCTCTCAGACACACACACACACACCTCTCAGACACACACTCACACACACCTCTCTCTCTCACTCACACTCACACCTCTCTCACTCACACACACACACACACACACACACACTCACACCTCTCTCTCTCACACACACACACACACACACACACACACACACACCTCTCAGACACACACACACACACACACCTCTCAGACACACACACACACGTACACACACACACCTCTCAGACACACACACACACACACACACACCTCTCAGACACACACACACGTACACAGGGGTAGAATGGCCAACCAACACATGCAGGTGGTTCTGACTGACTGAGGGCTTAGGCTATCAGATCGTTAGACCAAGCCCCTCCTCTTCCTGTAGTTCTTTAGACCAAGCCCCTCCTCTTCCCGTAGTTCTTCAGATCAAGCCCCTCCTCTTCTTGTAGTCCTCCAGGTTGAGAGACCTGCGCGGAGCACCGTCCTTCACTGCCAGGGTGTTAGCGCTCACTGACAGAGACTTGGCTTCTGAAACACACCGGAGGAACAACATTAGTGTGACATATCTGTTGTTACAGTACAGGGTGAAGTTGCCCCTAGACGCTGACCTTGAATCAGTTTAGCTTTTTCCTCACTAATGGTTAAGGTTGGGATTCGGGGAGGGGTTAGCTGATCCTAGATCTGTCCCAAACTTCACAATGGAAATATTCTGAAATAACTTTTGATTTTTTTAGAAAGTTAAGCTTGAAATTGGCACGGCATAAGGGATTCAACAAACAAAAACCCATGTAACTAGCTTTCTTATTGAATCAGAAAATCCACAGTTATTTCTGGTTGTTTATCAAAGTTAGCTGGCTAACTAGGGATGTGCATCTTTCCATTTCAAGACGATTTAGTATCTATATACACGGGCGCCGATACGATAGAGGAACGATACGTTTAGTTTCAAATGATTCTGCGCGATTATGTTTGATTAGAGGAACAAATCAATAAGATGCAATAACATTTGTTGCATAAACACATTTTCCATTAGAATCTGCTGCTGATGGATGTCATGAGCAGAGCCTCGTCTGTCTGTCTCTCTGAGCTGTCTGTCTGTCTCTCTGAGCTGTCTGTCTGTCTCTCTGAGCTGTCTGTCTCTCTGAGCTGTCTGTCTCTCTGAGCTGTCTGTCTCGCTGAGCTGTCTGTCTCGTTGAGCTGTCTGTCTCGCTGAGCTGTCTGTCTCTCTGAGCTGTCTGTCTCTCTGAGCTGTCTGTCTGTCTGTGTCTGTCTGTCTGTGTCTGTCTGTCAATGATGTATACAGTTCCTTCAGAAGGTATTCACACCCCTAGACCTTTTCAACATTTTGTTTTGTTACAGCCTGAATTTAAAATGGATTCAATTGAGATTTTTGGGTCACTGATCTACACACAATACCCCATAATGTCAAAGTGGAATTACAGTGAGGGAAAAAAAGTATTTGATCCCCTGCTGATTTTTGTATGTTTGCCCACTGACAAAGAAATTATCAGTCTATAATTTTAATGGTAGGTTTATTTGAACAGTGAGAGACAGAATAACAACAAAAAAATCCAGAAAAACGCATGTCAAAAACTGTTATGATGATGGATCAACAACATTGTAGTTACTCCACTAGGGCTGATCCCATTTAGTCGACAGAGATCTTTAATCGAGCAGTGGCAAGACAATATACAGGTGCAGCTCAATAAATTAGAATATTGTGGAAAAGTTAAGTAATTTCAATAATTCAATTGACAAAGTGAAACAAAAAGTGAAATAGTTAAAGGTTGTTTTTGTTTTAATCTTGATGATTTACGGCTTACAGCTCATGAAAACCCCAAATTCAGTATCTCAGAAAATTAGAATATTGTGAAAAAGTTAAATATTGTAGACTCAAGGTGTCACACTCTAATCAGCTAACTAACTCAAAACACCTGCAAAGGTTTCCTGAGCCTTTAAATGGTCTCTCAGTTCAGTAGGCTTCACAATCATGGGGAAGACTGCTGACTTGACAGTTGTGCAGAAGACAGTCATCAACACCCTCCACAAGGAGGGAAAGCCTCAAAAGATCATTGCTAAAGAAGCTGGCTGTTCACAGAGGGCTGTATCCAAGCTGGCTGTTCACAGAGGGCTGTATCCAAGCTGGCTGTTCACAGAGGGCTGTATCCAAGCATATTCATGGAGAGTCGAGTGGAAGGAAGAAGTGGAGTAGGAAAAGGTGCACAAGCAACAGGGATAACCGGAGCCTTGAGAGGATTGTCAAGCAAAGGCCGTTCGAAAATGTGGGGGAGCTTCACAAGGAGTGGAGTGGACTGAGGCAGGAGTCAGTGCATCAAGAGCCACCACGCACAGACCAAGGAGTGGACTGAGGCAGGAGTCAGTGCATCAAGAGCCACCACGCACAGACCAAGGAGTGGACTGAGGCAGGAGTCAGTGCATCAAGAGCCACCACGCACAGACCAAGGAGTGGACTGAGGCAGGAGTCAGTGCATCAAGAGCCCCCACGCACAGACCAAGGAGTGGACTGAGGCAGGAGTCAGTGCATCAAGAGCCACCACGCAGAGACCAAGGAGTGGACTGAGGCAGGAGTCAGTGCATCAAGAGCCCCCACGCACAGACCAAGGAGTGGACTGAGGCAGGAGTCAGTGCATCAAGAGCCCCCCACGCACAGACCAAGGAGTGGACTGAGGCAGGAGTCAGTGCATCAAGAGCCCCCACGCACAGACCAAGGAGTGGACTGAGGCAGGAGTCAGTGCATCAAGAGCCCCCACGCACAGACCAAGGAGTGGACTGAGGCAGGAGTCAGTGCATCAAGAGCCACCACGCACAGACCAAGGAGTGGACTGAGGCAGGAGTCAGTGCATCAAGAGCCCCCACGCACAGACCAAGGAGTGGACTGAGGCAGGAGTCAGTGCATCAAGAGCCACCACGCACAGACCAAGGAGTGGACTGAGGCAGGAGTCAGTGCATCAAGAGCCCCCACGCACAGACCAAGGAGTGGACTGAGGCAGGAGTCAGTGCATCAAGAGCCACCACGCACAGACCAAGGAGTGGACTGAGGCAGGAGTCAGTGCATCAAGAGCCCCCACGCACAGACCAAGGAGTGGACTGAGGCAGGAGTCAGTGCATCAAGAGCCACCACGCACAGACCAAGGAGTGGACTGAGGCAGGAGTCAGTGCATCAAGAGCCCCCACGCACAGACCAAGGAGTGGACTGAGGCAGGAGTCAGTGCATCAAGAGCCACCACGCACAGACCAAGGAGTGGACTGAGGCAGGAGTCAGTGCATCAAGAGCCCCCAAGCACAGACCAAGGAGTGGACTGAGGCAGGAGTCAGTGCATCAAGAGCCCCCACGCACAGACCAAGGAGTGGACTGAGGCAGGAGTCAGTGCATCAAGAGCCCCCACGCACAGACCAAGGAGTGGACTGAGGCAGGAGTCAGTGCATCAAGAGCCACCACGCACAGACCTATCCAGGAAATGGGCTACAACTGTCGCATTCCTCGTGTCAAGCCACTCCTGAACCAGAGGCAACGTCAGAAGCCTCTTACCTGGGCTAAGGAGAAAAAGAACTGGTCTGTCGCTCAGTGGTCCAAAGTCCTCTTTTCAGATGAAAGTACATTTTGCATTTCATTCGCCAATCAAGGTCCCAGAGTCTGGAGGAAGAGTGGAGAGGCACAGAATCCAAGTTGCTTGAAGTCCAGTGTGAAGATTCCAAAGTCAGTGATGATTTGGGGAGCCATGTCATCTTCTGAGGTGTTGGTCCGCTGTGTTTCATCAAGTCCAAAGTCAACTCAGCCGTCTGCCAGGAAATGTTAGAGCACTTCACGCTTCCTTCTGCTGACAAGCTTTATGGAGATGCTGATTTCATTTTCCAGCAGGACTTGGCACCTGCCCACACTGCCAAAGGTACCAATAACTGGTTCAATGACCGTGGGATTACTGCGCTTGATTGGCCAGCAAACTCGCCTGTTCTGAACCCCATAGAGAATTTATGGGGTATTGTCAAGAGGAAGATGAGTGACACGAGACCCAACAATGCAGACGAGCTGAAGGCCGCTATTGAAGCAGCCTGGGCTTCCATAACACCTCAGCAGTGCCACGGGCTGGTCGACTCCATGCCACGCCGCATAGATGCAGTGATTCATGCAAAAGGAGCCCCAACCAAGTACTGACTGCACGTACAAGAACATACTTTTCAGAAGGCCCGACATCTGTATTACATTTCATTTTTTCACTGGCCTTATGTCATATTCTAATTTTCTGAGATACTGATTTTGTGGTTTTCATGAGCTGTAAGCCGTAATCATCAAGATTATAACAAATACAGGCTTGAACTATTTAACTTTTTGTGTAATTAATCCACAATATATATGAGTTTCACTTTGTCAATTTAATTATTGAAATTACTTAACTTTTCCACAATATTCTAATTTATTGAGCTGCACCTGTATATTCAGTACCAGTCAAAAGTTTTAGAACACCTACTCATTCAAGGGTTTTTCTTTATTTTTACTATTTTCTACATTGTAGAATAATAGTGAAGACATCAAAACTATGAAATAACACATATGGAATCATGTAATAACCCAAAAAGTGTTAAACAAATCAAAAATATTTTATATTTGAGATTCTTCAAATAAGCCACCCTTTGCCTTGATGACAGCTTTGCACACTCTTGGCATTCTCTCAACCAGCCTCACCTGGAATGCTTTTCCAACACTCTTGAAGGAGTTCCCACATATGCTTAGCACTTGTTGGCTAACGCATTGATCCTGCTTTGTAGTGGTAGGATCGAACCCCCTATGGTCTGGCAGCAGCACCGACCACACACTACAAATTGAACAATCCCCCTGGAGACGGGGGTTCGATCCCTGAACCCACCACTTTCTGCTTGTGCTTGTTATATACAAATTTGAAATGATCCATCTCACCTGCATTGGGAACCTGTAGGTCGATCTTGACGTCAAAATCGTGCACTTTAAATAGGTCCTCTGAGAGGTCGCTGGTGTTCTTAGTAGGGTCAATGACTTTCAGAGCAGCCTGTCCTGCTCCCCTGCCCATCTCAAACTCTAAGTCCATCTCTTTGCCCGACCCTTCTCCGTACTTCTCATTGAGGTGTTGGAGGATAGCTGCATGGACTGAAGGGTCTCTGGCCTGAAACAAAACAAACGTAAATACTGCAGACAGACACACATAACAAGTTATTCTGAATATTATATGAATTGCTTACGTTCAAAATTGCACAGCATGGCTGCATCCCAAATGGCGCCCTATTCCCTAGGGGTCCTGGTCAACAGTAGGGCACTACATAGGGAATAGGGTGCTAGGGGTCCTGGTCAACAGTAGTGCACTACATAGGGAATAGGGTGCTAGGGGTCCTGGTCAACAGTAGGGCACTACATAGGGAATAGGGTGCTATTTGGATCGATGTCCATGTGAACATAAAGAAGAGCTCTTACGTTAGACACCATGGTGGAGAGAGAGAGATAATGACTTACGTTAGACACCATGGTGGAGATAGAGATAATGACTTACGTTAGACACCATGGTGGAGAGAGATAATGACTTATGTTAGACACCATGGTGGAGAGAGAGAGAGATAATGACTTACGTTAGACACCATGGTGGAGAGAGAGATAATGACTTACGTTAGACACCATGGTGGGGAGAGAGATAATGACTTACGTTAGACACCATGGTGGAGAGAGAGAGAGAGATAATGACTTACGTTAGACACCATGGTGGAGAGAGAGAGAGATAATGACTTACGTTAGACACTATGGTGGAGAGAGAGAGATAATTACTTACGTTAGACACCATGGTGGAGAGAGAGATAATGACTTACGTTAGACACCATGGTGGAGAGAGAGAGAGATAATGACTTACGTTAGACACCATGGTGGAGAGAGAGAGAGATAATGACTTACGTTAGACACCATGGTGGAGAGAGAGAGATAATGACTTACGTTAGACACCATGGTGGAGAGAGAGAGAGATAATGACTTACGTTAGACACCATGGTGGAGAGAGAGAGATAATGACTTACGTTAGACACCATGGTGGAGAGAGATAATGACTTACGTTAGACACCATGGTGGAGAGAGAGAGATAATGACTTACGTTAGACACCATGGTGGAGAGAGATAATGACTTACGTTAGACACCATGGTGGAGAGAGATAATGACTTACGTTAGACACCATGGTGGAGAGAGAGATAATGACTTACGTTAGACACCATGGTAGGTTTGCACTGCCGTCTAGTGAACGGGTCCATCTGCAGCTTGGCATTCTGTCCCTCAGCCTGACAGAGAAATAGGATATTATAATATAGTCATAATAATAATAGAAAATGTAATGTAATAATAAGTAACATTTTTTGACATTTTAGTCATATAGCAGACGTTATTATCCAGAGCGACTTACAGGAGCAATTAGGGTTAAGTGCCTTGCTCAAGGGCACCGACAGATTTTTCACATAGTCGGCTCGGGGATTAGAACCAGCGACCTTTCGGTTACTGGCACAACGCTCTTACCCACTAAGCTACCTGCCGCCCCAAAGAGTAACAAAGAGTCATACATGTATAAATAATGTACACTGAACAAAAATATAAACACAACATGTAAAGTGTTGGTCCCATGTTTCATGAGCTGAAATAAAAGATCCCAGAAATGTTTCTTCATACGCACAAAAAGCTTATTTCTCTAAAATGTTGTGCACAAATTTGTTAACATCCTTGTTAGTGAGCATTTCTCATTTGCCAAGATAATCCATCCACCTGACAGGTGGCATATCAAGAAGCTGATTAAACAGCATGATCATTACACAGGTGCACCTTGTGCTGGGGACAATAAAAGGCCACTAAAATGTGCAGTTTTGTCAAACAACACAATGCTACAGATGTCTCAAGTTCTGAGGGAGCGTGCAATTGGCATGCTGACTGCAGGAATGTCCACCAGAGCTGTTGCCAGAGAATTGAATGTTAATTTCTCCACCATAAGCCACCTCCAACATAAAAAATTTTTTTTTGGCAGTATGTCCATCCGGCCTCACAACCGCAGACCACGTGTATGGCGTCGTGTGGGCGAGCGGTTTGCTGATGTCAACGTTGTGAACAGAGTGCCTCATAGTGGTGGTGGGGTTATGGTATGGGCAGGCATAAGCTACAGACAACGAACACAATTGCATTTTATCGATTGCAATTTGAATGCACAGAGATACCGTGATGAGATCCTGAGGCCCATTGTCGTGCCATTCATCCGCCGCAATCACCTCATGATAATGCATGGCCCCATGTCACAACGATCTGTACACAATTCCTGGAAGCTGAAAATGTCCCAGTTCTTCCATGGCCTGCATACTCACCAGACGTCACCCACTGAGCATGTTTGGGATGCTCTGGATCGACGTGTACGACAGCGTGTTCCAGTTCCTGCAATATCCAGCAACTTCACATAGTCTTTGAAGAGGAGTTGGACAACATTCCACAGGACAACAATCAACAGCCTGATCAACTCTATGCGAAGGAGATGTGTCGCGCTGCATGAGGCAAATTGTGGTCACACCAGATACTTACTGGTTTTCTGATCCACGCCCCTACCTTTTTCTTAAGGTATCGGTGACCAACAGATGCATATCTGTATTCCCAGTCATGTGAAATCCATATATTTGGGCCTAATTTATTAATTTCAATTGACTGATTTCCTTATATTAACCATAACTCAGTAAAATCTTTGAAATTGTTGCATGTTGCGTTTATATTTTTGTTCAGTATATATACACATACACTACCGGTCAACAGTTTTAGAACACCTACTCATTTAAGGGTTTTTCTTTATTTTTACTATTTTCTATATTGTAGAATAATAGTGAAGACATCAAAACTATGAAATAACACATATGGAATCATGTAGTAACCCAAAAAGTGTTAAACAAATCATAAAAAAGTATATATTTGAGATTCTTCAAATAAGCCACCCTTTGCCTTGATGACAGCTTTGTACACTCTTGGCATTCTCTCAACCAGCTTCACCTGGAATGCTTTTCCAACAGTCTTGAAGGAATACCCACGTATGCTGAGCACTTGTTGGCTGCTTTTCCTTCACTCTGCGGTCCAACTCATCCCAAGCCATCTCAATTTGGATGAGGTCGGGGAATTGTGGAGGCCAGGTCATCTGATGCAGCACTCCATCACTCTCCTTCTTGGTCAAATAGCCCTTACACAGCCTGGAGGTGTGTTGGGTCATTGTCCTGTTGAAAAACAAATGACAGTCCCACTAAGCCCAAACCAGATGGGATGGCGTATCACTGCAGAATGCTGTGTTAGCCATGCTGGTTATGTGTGCCTTGAATTCTATATAAAATCACAGACAGTGTCACCAGCAAAGCACCCCAACACCTCCTCCTCCGTGCATTACGGTGGGAAATACACATGCGGAGATCATCCGTTCACCCACACGCGTCTCACAAAGACACGGCGGTTGGAACCAAAAATCTCAAATTTGGACTCCAGACCAAAGTCACATTTCCACCGGTCTAATGTCCATTGCTCGTGTTTCTTGGCCCAAGCAGGTCTCTTATTATTATTGGTGTCCTTTAGTAGTGGTTTCTTTGCAGCAATTCGACCATGAAAGACTGATTCACACATTCTCCTCTGAACAGTTGATGTTGAGATGTGTCTGTTACTTGAACTCTGTGAAGCATTTATTTGTGCTGCAATTTCTGAGGCTGGTAACTCTAATGAACTTATCCTCTGCAGCAGAGGTAACTCTGGGTCTTCCATTCCTGTGCCGGTCCTCATGAGAGCCAGTATCATCATATCACTTGACGGTTTTTGCGACTGCACTTGAAGAAACTTTCAAAGTTCTTGATATTTTCCGTATTGACTGACCTTCATGTCTTAAAGTAATGATGGTAAGACTGTCATTTCTCTTTGCTTATTTGAGCTGTTCTTGCCATAATGGACTTTTACCAAATAGGGCTATCTTCTGTATAGCCAGCCCCCACCTTGTCACAACACAACTGATTGGCTCAAACGCATTAAGAAGGAAAGAAATTCCACAAATTAACTTTTAAAAAGGCACACCTGTTAATTGAAATGCATTCCAGGTGAATACCTCATGAAGCTGGTTGAGAGAATGCCAAGAGTCTGCAAAGCTGTCATCAAGGCAAAGGGTGGCTATTTGAAGAATCTCAAATATAAAATATATTTTGATTTGTTTAACACTTTTTTTGGTTACTACATGATTCCATATGTGTTATGTCATATTTCTGATGTCTTCACTATTATTCTACAATGTAGAAAATAGTCAAAATAAAGAAAAACCCTTGAATGAGTAGGTGTGTCCAAACTTTTGACCGGTAGTAAGTAAGTAAATATATATACACTGATTAAAAACATAATTGCACTGTGATGAGAGGTATTTAGTACAGATGGAGGCTGGGATACTTACGACTAGAGCCTTCTCAGATTCCACAATGTTCCAGCTACGATTCCTCTGGTTGATGTAGCTGGAGGAGACATTGACAGGCAGGGAGGTTCATATACAGGTTTGATACCATTCCACTGATTCCTCCCTAATTAAGGTGTCACCAACCTCCTGTGGTATACAGTGCATTCGGAAAGGATTCAGACCCCTTGACCTTTTCTACATGTTGTTACGTTACAGCCTTATTCTCAAATTGATTAAAATTGTTTTCCCCCTTATCAATCTACACACAATACATTTACATTTTAGTCATTTAGCAGACGCTCTTATCCAGAGCGACTTACAGGAGCAATTAGGGTTAAGTGCCTTGCTCAAGGGCACCGACAGATTTTTCACCTAGTCGGCTCGGGGATTAGAACCAGCGACCTTTCGGTTACTGGCACAACGCTCTTAACCACTAAGCTACCTGCCGCCCCACAATACCCCATAATGACAAAGCAAACATGTTTTTAGAAATGTTGGCACATTTATAAAAAAAATATCAAAAATCAAAATATCACATTTACATAAGTATTCAGACCCTTTATTCAGTACTTTGTCGAAGCACCTTTGGCAGCGATTACAGCCTCGAGTCTTCTTGAATATTACGCTACAAGCTTGGCGCACCTGTATTTGGCGAGTTTCTCCCATTCTTCTCTGCAGATCCTCTCAAGCTCTGTCAGGTTGGATGGGGAGCGTTGCTGCACAGCTATTTTCAGGTCTCTCCAGAGATGTTCGATCGGGTTCAAGTCTGGGCTCTGGCTGGGCCACTCAAGGACATTCAGAGACATGTCCAGAAGCCACTCCTGTGTTGTCTTGGCTGTGTGCATAGGGTCGTTGTCCTGTTGGAAGGTGAACCTTCACCCCAGTCTGAGGTCCGGAGCACTCTGGAGCAGGTTTTCATCAAGGATCTCTCTGTACTTTGCTCCGTTCATCTTTCCCTCGATCCTGACTAGTCTCCCAGTCCCTGCCGCAGAAAAACATCCCCACAGCATGATGCTGCCACCACCACGCTTCACCGTAGGGATGGTGCCAGGTTTCTTCCAGACGTGACGCTTGGCATTCAGGCCAAAGAGTTCAATCAGACCAGAGAATCTTGTTTCTCATGGTCTGAGAGTCCTTTATGTGCCTTTTGGCAAACTCCAAGCGGACTGTCATGTGCCTTTTACTGAGGAGTGGCTTCCGTCTGGCCACTCTATCATAAAGGCTTGATTGGTGGAGTGCTGCAGAGATTGTTGTCCTTCTGGAAGGTTCTCCCTTCTCCACAGAGGAACTCTGGAGCTCTGTCAGAGTGACCATCGGGTTCTTGGTCACCTCCCTGACCAAGGCCCTTCTCCTCCGATTGCTCAGTTTGGCCGGGCGGCCAGCTCTAGGAAGAGTCTTGGTGGTTCCAAACTTCTTCCATTTAAGAATGATGGAGGCCACTGTGTTCTTGGGGACCTTCAATGCTGCAGAAATGTTTTGCTTCCCTTCCCCAGATCTGTGCCTTGACACAATCCTGTCTCGGAGCTCTACGGACAATTCCTTCGACCTCATGGCTTGGTTTTTGCTCTGACATGCACTGTCAACTGTGGGACCTTATATAGACAGGTGTGTGTCTTTCCAAATCATGTCCAATCAATTGAATTTACCACAGGTGGACTCCAATCAAGTTGTAGAAACATCTCAAGGATGATCAATGGAAACAGGATGCACCTGAGCTCAATTTCGAGTCTCATAGCAAAGGGTCTTAATTCTTATGTAAATTAGGTATTTATGTTTTTTTATTTTTAATACATTTGCACACATTTCAAAATACCTGTTTTCGCTTTGTCATTATGGGGTATTGTGTGTAGATTGATGAGGATTTGTATTTATGTAATCCAATTTTAGAATAAGGCTATAACTGAACAAAATGTGGAAATAGTCAAGGGGTCTGAATAGTTTCCGAACGCGCTGTAGACCGACAGAGAAACATCAGAACTTGTCCTGTAAACCGCAGTACATTATTTAACTCTTACACTACCCACATTTCCATCCACAGCTGTTATGCGAGTTAAGTCATACCGTATAAAAACTAAAATCACAACAGCTGTGATGGAAACAGGAAGTTTCGGTACAATTATGAATGCCGACAGATAACTTGTTCGTTCGACATGGTGGGATTTTTTTTGTTGGTAAAAATGAACTATGCGAGAAATGTCAGTGGAAGTGCTTTTAATGCGCAAATATTTATTTAATAACCATCATATGGAAGTAGACTTGGAGTCACCTGATGACATGGAGTGTGGTCCTCCCACTACGACTCGGGAACGCATGCAGTTTATTAGGCTAAGTTATGGTGAAAGTGCACGTTGATGAGGTTGATGATTAAAACATTTTTTTTATATAAAAGGTCTTATTCTGGTGACGTGATGATCGACGCTTGACTGCCGTTTGACTAATATTCTCGCTCTTATCCATAATAATCAAAATCACGTAGACTAGTCTACCCGCACCGCACAGGTTGTTGTCAAACAGATTAAAAACGGGATAGTTAGTGCTAGCTACCCCCATAGACTTCCAGTCATTGCGCTAACGCTAGTTAGCAATGGCTCCAGAAACGACCTTCCAACTGCACGCAGAGACATCAAATAGTATCCGTGAGTTTATCTGACTCTGGGTAAAGTAGGAAAATTGCCTAAATGTCAAACTATCCCTTTAACAAGTTGTGAAGATGACATTTAATTGAATTCGATGCCTCTTCACTTAAAACATTGTAAATGTGTGATTTTGTTCCATGCGTGTTTCATTGGGCGCAAATTGGATCTTCCTAAGCATGTACATTTATCAACTTCACCTCCCAACAGTTTCAAGTGTTTGGTACAGCCAGCTGCGTTACACAAGTGATGTGTTTCTACGCAGGTCATCGTATGAAAGGTTTTTAAATCAAAGCCGCTAACCAAAATGAAGTTTTATTATTATAAAATACAATATGACTATTGTGTTACCTGATGGCAGAGATGTTTTTGGTCCTCTGCCTGTCCAGATGCTCTGCCCTCTCCTCCAGCTCATTCAGCTGGTCCTGGATCTCTTTGGCTCGGTCTCCTTCACCACTCTCCTCTGCCATGGCCTAGAGGCAGTCACAAGTCAAGTTCATTTGTCATGCACAGGATACAGAGTACAACGAAATGATGACCTGCCGGTTCACACCGGACACCATAGCAACAATAAATGGAATCAGAAAATAAAACTAAAAATGGAATAAAAATAGAGTTTACACGCACGTTAAAGCACGCGTATTCAAACATGGTACACGCACGTTAAAGCACGCGTATTCAAACATCGTACACGCACGTTAAAGCATGCGTATTCAAACATCGTACACGCACGTTAAAGCACCCGTATTCAAACATCGTACACGCACGTTAAAGCATGCGTATTCAAACATCGTACACGCACGTTAAAGCATGCGTATTCAAACATCGTACACGCACGTTAAAGCACGCGTATTCAAACATCGTACACGCACGTTAAAGAACGCGTATTCAAACATCGTACACACACGTTAAAGCATGCGTATTCAAACATCGCACATACACATTAAAGCACGCGTATTCAAACATCGTACACACACATTAAAGCACGCGTATTCAAACATCGTACACACATTAAAGAACGCGTATTCAAACATCGTACACGCACAATAAAGCATGTGTATTCAAACATTGTACACACACATTAAAGCACGCGTATTCAAACATCGTACACACACATTAAAGCACGCGTATTCAAACATCGTACACACACATTAAAGCACGCATATTCAAACATCGTACACGCACATTAAAGCATGCATATTCAAACATCGTACACACACCTTAAAGCACGCGTATTCAAACATCGTACACACACGTTAAGCAAGCGTAATTCAACATCGTTCACGAATTAAGCACGCGTATCAACACGTACTCGCACATTAAGCACGCGTATCAAATCGCCATGCGTACACGGGAGTTTTACTACCTTACTTTGGTAGGAAGTTCTCATGGCGTAGTTGAAGGCTCGGAATCTTTCTTACGATCTGGTCAACAACAATTCACTTATATGAGCGTACCAGATACATATTATACGGCACACTTTAAGCCAGAGAATGGCACACCTATTCCCTATATAGTGCACTTACAGAAGACCATCAGTCCACCGAAATGGCACCCTATTCCCTATATAGTGCACTACTTTAGACCAGAGAATGGCACCCTATTCCCTATATAGTGCACTACTTTAGACTAGAGCCCTATGTGCCCTACATAGGGAATAGGGGGCCGTTTGGGACGCACACAGATACTTACATCCTCGATGTCTTTGTCGTTGAATTTATAGTTGCAAGCCTCTTTGATGGCCTGTTCCTTCTTATTGATCTCATCTAGAGTGGGAACCTGCATACTGGCTATGATCATCTGTAGACGGAGGGGGAAAACGTCAAACAGGTTGAACACCCCACAACAGACTCTTCTCTACGACAGGCCTGACATAACCTGGCATAACAGAACCCTGCTTCTCCATGAGCCATCCATCCAAGATCCACAACATTCATCTTTCCATTCACTTTGGATATTCCTTGGTCTGTTGTTACAAATCTTGCAGTCTACCAGGAGGAATTAAAGCAACCATGCTCCTCTATCCAATCAGCATGTTCCCACTGGCACTTCCTCAAGTCAACCATCCAATCAGCATGCTCCTCCAGTCAACTCACCGCCTCCTTCCACTTCATGAACTCGTTTTCTGTGAACTCCTGATTGGACACAAACTCCAGTCTGAAGACTCGGGTGTCACCACCATGCCTAGAGGAGAGATATGGGACAGAGCACAGGGAAACCGTCAGCACAGGGAAACCGTCAGCACAGGGAAACCGTCAGCACAGGGAAACCGTCAGCACAGGGAAACCGTCAGCACAGGGAAACCGTCAGCACAGGGAAACCATCACAGAAGGTGAGACAGGAGGAGAGAAACAGTCAGAGAAGAGGAGGAGAGAAACAGTCAGAGAAGAGGAGGAGAGAAAGAGTCAGAGAGGAGGAGGAGAGAAAGAGGAGGAGAAGAGGAGGAGAGAAAGAGTCAGAGGTGGAGGAGGAGAGAAAGACTCAGAGGTGGAGGAGGAGAGAAAGAGTCAGAGAGGAGGAGGAGAGAAACAGTCAGAGAAGAGGAGGAGAGAAAGAGGAAGAGAAGAGGAGGAGAGAAACAGGAAGAGAAGCCAAGGGTAGCAGCAGGTAAGAGCTGAGCAGGTTTAAATGAAGGATGCCGTACCGTAACTGGAGTCCTTTGTTGGTCCGGGTCGTCCCCAACTGGTAGACTTTAGCCGTCTCGACCACGTCAACTATTTCAGCCACCTTATCACAGGGAATTACTCATTATTGTTAAATGAGGTGAAAAGGAGAGAGGAGTAGGACTTTAATCTGGCTCAGGGAAACTGCCCCAATAGATGCATGTCCTTACCCTGTAAACTGGTTTGCTACTACTGTTCCCGATGCCAATCCGCACGAAGCAGCCGCTCACGGTCTTCTGGAAGAAGGGCATGTGGCACCAGCGCTCCAGCTTGTGTCGGGACAGACGGACACGGTTCAGCTCGTCTGGCAGTGACACGGGCTGAGACTTTGGCGGCGTCTCCTCTTTCCTGGACCATCCCAAGGCAGAAAACATAGAAACATTGGTCATCGATCGTTGGTCAATCAATGGGAATGGGAAATCTTCAAGACCAAATTCAACATGCAGTAATATAGCTCTATCAAGGAAGACAACTACTAATGTGCTGTGTTGAACTCCAATACTACCAGTAACCCTTGTACTTTTTAAAATCGTACAAATTGTTTTACACCTAAATAAATAAATCCACAGCTGTTGGATAGATACTCACTCCTCGTCTTCGGAATAAGATGAAGAGCGTGAACTGCGATCGCTCTTTACTGAGGATTTGTCGTCGTCCTCCTCCTCCTCCTCTTCCTCCTCATCGTCGGAGTACACCTCGCTGGTCTTCAGGGGCTGGCGTTTGGCCAGGAGCTCGGCCGTCCTGGTCTTCTTCTTCTCCCGCTCTGCTTTCAGTTCCTCCATGGCCTGAGACTTCTTATCCAGCTTCTCATCCCGTTTAGTCCTCCTCTCCTTGTTGTGAGACATAACCTAAAAAAGGAGAACGCAGTCGCAACGTACAGGTAAGGACTACGGAAACACAATATTACTGAACAAAAAAAAAAGGTGTGTGTTGTTTAAAAACATACTTTTAGAATTGTTTTTTAAAAAAAGGTTTGGGATTAGACGATGAACTCACCACTTGCTGGTCCTGATGTGTCCTGTCTTCATGATGAGCGCCGGACGCTCTCTCTCTTTTCTTCTTCTGTTCTTCCTCATGTTTCTTTTTCTTTTCCTCTTTCTCCTTCTTCTTCGCCGTCTTCAGTTTCTTTTTAATTTCAAATCTGACAGAAGAAGACAGACAGTGTCAGGGAGGTGTTCAATTATGACATATACATAGCAATAATCAAGGGATAGTCATTCATTTACATCTATCACAGTCTACTAAATCAGGCAATTACAACAATTACAGGGATTTCAAACTCATGAATGTCTGGTATATATATCTCACACACACACACACACACCTATATATACATACTCTGAACAAAAATGTCAATGCAACATGCAACAATTTCAAAGATGTGACTGAGTTACAGTTCATATAAGGAAATCAGTCAATTCAAATATATTCATTAGGCCCTAATCTATGGATTTCACATGACTGGGAATAGATCACAGATACCTTTTCTTTTTTAAGTAGGGGCGTGGATCAGAAAACCAGTCAGTATCTGGTTTGACCACTATTTTTGCCTCATGCAGCACACGACATCTCCTTCACATAGAGTTGATCAGGCTGTTGATTGATGTCCTGTGGAATGTTGTCCCACTCCTTTTCAATGGCTGTGTGAAGTTGCTGGATATTGGCGGGAACTGGAACACGCTGTCATACACGTCGATCCAGAGCATCCCAAACATGCTCAATTGGTGACATGTCTGGTGAGTATGCAGGCCATGGAAAAACTGGTACATTTTCAGCTTCCAGGAATTGTGTACAGATCCTTGCGACATGGGGCCGTGCAACATGAAACATGAGGTGATGGCGGTGGATGAATGGCACGACAATGGGCCTCAGAATCTTGACACGGTTTCTCTGTGCATTCAAATTGCCATCGATAAAATGAAATTGTGTTCGTTGTCCGTATGCCTGCCCATACCACAACCCCACCACCACCATGGGGCACTCTGTTCACAACGTTGACATCAGCAAACCGCTCGCCCACACGACACCATACACGCTGTCTGCCAACTGCCCGGTACAGTTGAAACAGGGATTCATCCATGAAGAGCACACTTCTCCAGCGTGCCAGTGGCCATCGAAGGTGAGCATTTGCCTACTGAAGTCGGTTATGATGCCGAACTACAGTCAGGTCAAGACCCTGGTGAGGAAGACGAGCACGCAAATGAGCTTCCCTGAAATTCTTCGGTTGGGCAAACCCACAGTTTCATCAGCTGTCTGGGTGGCTGGTCTCAGATGATCCCGCAGGTGAAGAAGCTGGATGTGGAGATCCTGGGCTGGCGTGGTCACATGTGGTCTTCAATTGTGAGGCCGGTTGGATGTACTGCCAAATTCTCAAAAACAATACTGGAGGCGGCTTATGGTAGAGAAATTAACATTAAATGATCTGGAAACAGCTCTGGTGGACATTCCTGCAGTCAGCATGCCAATTGCACGCTCTCTCAAAACTTGAGACATCTGTGGCATTGTGTTGTGTGACAAAACTACACATTTAAGAGTGGCCTTTTATTGTCCCCAGCACAAGGTGCACCTGTGTAATGATCATGCTGTTTAATCAGCTTCTTGATATACCACACCTGGCAGGTGGATGGATTATCTTGGCAAAGGAGAAATGGGATGTAAACAAATTTTTGCACAATCTTTGAGAGAAATAAACGTTTGGTGCGTATGGAAAATTTCTGGGATCTTTTATTTCAGCTCATGAAACATAGGACCAAAACTTTTCATGTTGCGTTTATATTTTTGTTCAGTGTACACACAGATATAGTGTACAGTGCATTCGGAAAGTATTCAGACCCCTTTACTTTTTCCACATGTTGTTACGTTACAGCCTTACTCTATTCTAAAATTGATTAAATAAATAAAAATCCCTCATCAATCTACACACAATACCCCATAATGACAACGTGAAAACAGGTTTTTAGATTTTTTTGCAAAGAAATATCTTATTTACATTATTATTCAGACCCTTTGCTTTGATACTCGAAATTGAGCTCAGGTGCATCCTGTTTCCGTTGAGCATCCTTGAGATGTTTCTACAACTTGATTGGAGTCAACCTGTGGTAAATTCAATCGATTGGACATGATTTGGAAAGGCACACAACTGTCTATATAAGGTCCCACAGTTGACAGGGCATGTCAGAGCAAAAACCAAGCAATGAGGTCCAAGCTCTTCCTAGAGCTGGCCGCCCGGCCAAACTGAGCAATCGAGGGAGAAGGGCCTTGGTCAGGGAGGTGACCAAAAACCCAATGGTCACTCTGACAGAGCTCTATAGTTCCTCTGTGGAGATGGGAGAACCTTCCAGAAGGACAACCATCTCTGCAGCACTCCACCAATCAAGCCTTTATGGTAGAGTGGCCAGACGGAAGCCACTCCTCAGTAAAAGGCACATGACAGCCTGCTTGGAGTTTGCCAAATAGCCCCTAAAGGACTCTCAGACCATGAGAAACAAGATTCTCTGGTCTGATGAAACCAAGATTGAACTCTTTGGCCTGAATGCCAAGCATCACGTCTGGAGGAAACCTGGTACCATCCCTATGGTGAAGCATGGTGGTGGCAGCATCATGCTGGGGGAATGTTTTTCAGCGGCAGGGACTGGGAGACTAGTCAGGACGAGGGAAAGATTAACAGAGCAAAGTACAGCGAGATCCTTGATGAAAACCTGATCCAAAGCGCTCAGGACATCAGACTGGGGCGAAGGTTAACCTTCCAACAGGACAACAACCCTAAGCAGGAGTGGCTTTGGGACAAGTCTCTGAATATCCTTGAGTGGCCCAGCCAGAGCCCGGACTTGAACCCGATCAAACATATACACACACACACACACACACATATACACACACACAGACTAACAACTCTCCTGCCCAACGATAGTCTCACTCACAACTCTCCTGCTCCTCCTAGTCGCACCTTAAATTCTTCATATGAATAAATGAACTAGCAACAATACAATAAAGTTCTCAAGCAGACCCGGCTCTGTACTGAAACGACCACTTTTGCTTCTTAATCCAGGACTAGGCTAAATCTGTGTCCAGGAGACTGTCCCTTATAGTTCCAACTTCCTGCAGTAGTCTCACCTCCTCTTGAGCACCTCCCTCTTCTCTATCCTGTTAAAGAGCTCCTGCTCCCTCTCCTTCTCCGTCATCTGCTCCAGCCGAGCCCTGTCCTCCTCGTCCCCCATCAGGTCCTCTCCGTAGCCGTCCCTGAACACATCGTCCTCGGACGAGGAGTCTGAGCTGGAGGCAGAGCTGTTGCTCTCGGAGTCAGACACCTCACCTGGAGGAGGAGACCGTTACATAATTAGATAGATAAGAGCCCTAGAGAGATGTTTATCTGAATGTGTCTTTATGTCATTCCTCGTTTCCTATCGTCTGGTGGAGGAGAACATTACATGGAGTTAGTTAGCATTTTAGTTGGTAGATACACAAGAGTCAAATCAACTGTTGGTCAAATTAACCACTGGCAGCGATCAACCACTCTTGGGGTCTATCTCAATTCGTCTTTCAAAGATCCCTCGCATCCCATCTCCTCAAGCGTATAGGAGGAGAAGACCCAAGGTCTCTCCCCTCGGACCATCCTCTCCAATGTGTTTTGAGAAGGAGCGCGGTTGAGAAGTATAGAGGAAAGATGAATTGAGAATTAGCCCGGGTCTCAGGACAACGTACCCTCCTCTGGGGCAGAGCTGTCGGCAGAACTGTCTCCGCCAGAACTACCGGACGATGCTGCTTTATGAACCCTCTTCTTCGCTGCCTCTTTCTTCTTTTCTGTTGCCGTCGGTTTCCCTGGCTTGACCTTCTTTTTGACTTTAGGACCACCGGCGGTCCACTATGTGAAAACAACGTACAAATCAAATCAGTAAACACAATGTTGTCACGTGGAGCATCAAGGACTGTATGAAAAATATAGTGTAATAACATCACTCTTTCATGCCACTAGTATAAGGGCTGGTTTCCTGGACCCAGATCAAGCCTAGTCGGGGAATAAAACATTATTTATAAAGGAGATCCTCGGTTGACAGGAAACCAGCCCTAAGGAGATCCAACTAGATGTAGAGAGGAGATACATACCTCATCGTCACTGTCTGATGTCTCGGAGTCTGACGAGGCTGCTGGCTTGCTGACTGGCTGGTCATCCTGCTGGTTATCCTGCTGGTCATCCGAGTCCACCCTCTTCCTCTTGGTGGCCAGAGACAGAAGCTCCTGGGTGCCACAGGGTGAGTGACAGAGGTGAGTGCCTGAACTCCTGATACAGTGTATCAAACAGACACAAAGTGGAGAAGCTGACATCCTATTATAAAATATGTAGGGGTTAACAGTTAATATGGATTGAGACGGAATCCCCGGTTGCCACAGGGTGAGATACACAAGACAGAGGGGTAAGTTTAAAGCATGGCCGATTGTGACTGAATAGGCCTGCACAGTGATACATAATGTTCTCACGCCCAGATAGGTAGAATAGGGGAGGAGCTTTCATCCTGTATAACATAGATATTTTCAATAGTTAGTCTGGATTGACTTATACAGGATGAATTCTGCATGGCCTGCTCAGAGGACAGCAGAATGCGTCAATGGCGGTAAAATGTTAGTTGACTGACAACATCCATCTGTTACAGTATATTTATAGAGGCTCCTGCATGTTAGGAAGCATTATAGTACTACAGTAGTCGATGATTAATAGTTTATCAGTCACTTGCTTTTATTATGTTGTCTTATTTTACAGTGAGAAACTTAATATAATAATAATAATATGCCATTTAGCAGACGCTTTTATCCAAAGCGACTTACAGTCATGCGTGCATACATTTTTTGTGTGTATGGGTGGACCCGGGGATCGAACCCACTACCTTGGCGTTACAAGCGCCGTGCTCTACCAGCTGAGCTACAGAGGACCACTTAACTTATTCTACTTTAATATGGTGCTGTGTAAATAACAAATACGAGCCATCATTGGGTAATATATCTCCTGTTAAAGCTTGTGTCAATGTTTAATTGTATGTTTATCAAAACAAACAATTTAATCAACAGGCCGAATTGTTAGCTACCAAGTTATCAACATTAATGAGTTGCTAACTACCTAACTAAGTTAACTTAGTATTAGGTGGTTTAATACCACGCTAGCAAAGATAGCTAGCTAATTATCATCTTCACTGCGGCAAGTAAGGCTATGCTTAATCTACGATTGACATGTTTTTAATAGCACACCATTGGCTGTCCAGTAACAGGACAGGCTATCCTACAACACATTCCTCCGACGCTAACTTTAGCTGGCTAGCTAACGTTAGCTAGCTGTTTTGTCAACACCAAAATAGAACTTCAGCTGCGCCCTTCACGTAATGCAGAAAATAACGTTATAAATCAGTAGGTCACTGTATTCTTTGATTACCAAATTATCACAACACATGAGATTATTGTTGCCACATGATACTATAAACTGGAACTGAATAAAGCCAATAAAACGTCAGGCCTATGGCGCGGTGTTTTCCTCCAAACTCAAGGCACAGCTAGCTAGCTAGCTAGCGTTACCTAGTTGGTTAACCCAGACTGTTCTTAGCCAGCTGTCAACGCCGCGGGCGGAAAACACATCGAAACCAGACAAGTTGCATCCTCACCTGATCTAAATTATCATCACTAGCGCTGTCTTCAGAGTCAGAGTCGATAACGACTCGACCTTTCCGCTTCTTTACATTCACCATGATTAGTTTATCTGGTCGTCTGTGTGCTAGCTAGCTCCGCAGTCCTCCACACAGGCGCGATACAACTGAGCATGCGCCGCGACTTGAGGACAAGCGGTGAAGAAAAAAAAACTAGTGGAACCGAAAATTCCAGCAGTGATTTCAGGGAGGGCTTTCATCTGGACGGACCACAACCTTGGATGTGCACGCTTCATGTTCTTTAATCATGATTACACATTTATAAAGTCGGTTAGAGATTATACAGACAGTACAAGTGATGAACGCAATGCTATTTATTTAGAACTGGCTTAAAGAACGATCCAACCGGCATCAAGTTCAGCTGTCAGTCGCCGTGTAGTCAGTGGGTAAGTAACTATCTACATTGCATTTCCTGCTATCAAAACTAGTTGATAGATATTGTACATTCTGTGATTCACTTAGCTTGTCTTCATGGCTATTAACCAGAACCTGGATGTCTTGTTACAGAATGTAGATGTGGTCATCTAGCTATGGCTTAGCCCAATAACTCTTTAGTCCAAGGACCTTACATGTTCTGTTTAAGCGGCGAATTGGCTCTGGAAGCCAAAACAGCCAAGTACTCCATCTAAACGTGAATCGATTCTCAATTGCGGTACGTTTCTAGAAACATGAAGCCCTATACTTTCATATCACATCAAAATAATTTCACAAACGCAAAATACACACTTACTGTAAATAGTTTAAACCGGTTTTAACACAGTTGCAGCAGACAGTACCTTTGTGACAACACGTTTGTGGCGTACTTAGCACAGATAGTCCACTGTCTTCCGTCTGTTTTCCGTAAACAAGCGCTGTAACATGGAAATATGGCCGTGTGGGAACCCTAACCCTATAAAGGTGTGTATCAATTTAACCTTTTGTTTTTGAAAATTATTTATTGCCGATATGAAAGATAAGGTCCTTATGCTTCCAAAACAGTACCGCAAGAGATGCGTGTTAATGTTCAGACCGAGCGTCGCAACAAAACACCCCCCCTACAGAAGATGCCATCGTCCAGTGTAATGTAATGGAACTGGGAGTGATGATCAAGGGCTACCTATGGCTATGAACATGACAATGCCCTGGCTGAGACTTTGTATTTGGTCCTCTTGACAGTCAATACTTGACTAACACTTGTCTTTTCCCCAACAGTAAGGCAAGATACCAGGATTACTTTTCATGGCAGTGTCAAGGGCTACACATTTCACCCCAGCAGGGAGATTTCTTGGCTCCTGCTACAAACAGAGACTCTTGGCCCCCCACCTGTCTGTGGGATGGAGGGCTGTCTCCGGAGGAGAGTACAGACGGCCAGGCCAGACGCAGGACAACACCCCCATATGGAAGAAGTTTGACTTCAATAAAGGTGTGGAGGGGATGCGAAAGCATTTTACCCTGCTGAAGAACGAGTTTCTGGCCCGCTGGACAGGGCCGGAGGGGAAGCCACTGATTGAACATTTCCTGGAGCAGACCAGGGTGATCTGGGAGTTCAGAGGGCCAGAGAGCCTGGCGCAGTGGACGGTGTCTTCAGACCGAGAGATCGGTGGGAGGAGCGAGGCCTATCTGAAGCTAGGCAGGAACAACGCTACGTGTCTGATGTATGGGACCCTCTGCTCTGCTCCCCCCAGGGACGGAGAAACGCGTTATAGTGGATACTGCACACTGCGCTCCAAACCGCCCATGGTTAGTACTGATGCTGTCTTAACTTAGCCCGGGTGCCTGTCTGTTTCTGCCCTCTTGCCAATGAGTTGGCATGATTACACAAATACTGGTACTCAGGCTAGTCTTTCCTTCCCCAGTAAGAGTGAAAGGCTGCCAAACATTGAGCACGTCCTTCCATCAGTTCCATGCCTTAACCTCGGAAGCACAAATTTGGAAGGGATGGCCATGCGAGACGTTAACCCCAAAACGTGTTCTCTCTAGGGTTCGTTTGACAGTAAGAAGCATCACGATTGGTCCAGCTTCAACACCCTGCACCTGCGTATCCGTGGTGACGGGCGGCCATGGATGATCAACGTCGGGGCGGAGACCTACTTCTCACACCAGAAGGACGACATGTACAGTTACTTCCTCTACACACGGGGAGGACCTTACTGGCAAGATGTGAAGGTACAGCCTAACCAGGGCCATTTTCAGTTGCAGATAGAAATTCCATGAATAGAGCCGATATGATTCCATAGTCTGCATGTCAGAGGCATGTTTGTTTTACATAGCCTACTTCTATCCGAACGTTCCAAAATGTTTGCGTCCTACTGAACGTCACCCAAGTCTCCCTTGCTTGGTTGTCTTCTTTCATTTTAAGGAAACTATCCTCAGTTGTTTGCGTCTCACACAGTACATAGCAGAAATAGGAAATTAGTGAAGCTATCACCGTGTGATCTTAGTCCAGAAGTATTTGGGTGCTAACAGTTGATTGGTCCTTTACAGATTCCATTCTCAAAATTCTTCCTCTCTAGTCGGGGGAGGGTACAAGATGATCAACATCCTCTCTGGTTGGACAAGGTAAGAAAATGTATGGTTGAGTGTATTAGTGTACTACATTGTACTCAGACAAGGGTACAATGATGATGATTCACTTGCTATGTTTTCTCAACTCTAATGTTCGTTTTGTGCTCTTAGGTTAACACCATTGGAATTACGTTGGGTGATAAGGCAGACGGTCCATTTCAACTGGAGATTGATTTTGTTGCCGTGTGTAATGACCGTGCACACACAGAGGAGTTTGCATATGAGGTATACAAGAGGAACCCTGAAGTCTGAGAACAAGCATCACCCACCAAATCCTCAATGAAAACGCTACTTCAGGAAATGCCCATTTACTACATGTATTTACAAGTCCGAAAAGGTACAACAACAAAAGCTTGCAGATGCACTGTAAAACACTTCCATGTGAATTACAGATATGACACAAATATTTAAGACTATGGTCTACCAACGACACTGGTGTACGAAATATGAAACATGTTAATGTGAACAATAAAGTTCATAAAAAACACTTAACTATTTTTTAATGTTGAGGAACTACAGAGTAAAATCGAACAATCATAACAGGTTGGAACTAAGAACAGTGCAGAGGACAGATGAGGTAAAGCAGTGAGAACAGGACAGATGAGATAAAGCAGTAAGAACAGATGAGGTAAAGCAGTAAGAACAGGACAGATGAGGTAAAGCAGTGAGAACAGGACAGATGAGGTAAAGCAGTAAGAACAGATGAGGTAAAAACAGGATTTAAACTTTACAGAAGAGTGAAAAGTACAGAATAATTAGGTCATGACGAGGCCTCGTCTGGCTCCAAGCATCTCCTCTTTCTTCCGCTTCCTGTCTTCAGTCTGTTTTGTCCTCCTTTCCTCCCTGGAATAAAAGCAATATGGAAATCAACATAACAGGCAATTCAGCCATTCAGAGAGGGAACAAGTTTTAGGACAGAGGCTTTCTCAATTAGTCCCTTGGACCTTCTTCTCCAATATGTTTTGAGTAAATCAACGAAAGATGAATTGACAAAAGCTGGGAATTCAATCAAATTCTCCCTCCACTTTTAACTTTTTGTTCCCGATACTCACCGTGTCTGAACCAGGTGCTGTTTGTAGTTCTTCTGGTGTGAAGGAACTGTCTGAGACTGTTCAGCTGTGTTCTCCTTGGTCTCTCCAAAAGGCTTCAGCTTCCCTACAGAGAAGATAAACCAGGGGGTTATTGACTGTTATTAATCACTGACATTATCAGATTCACGCAGAATGGTCAGGTTCCTTTAGAATCTGAATGGTGACATATCTTACCCCTGTGAGGCTTGTAGGTGAGAGGTTTAGAGAGACTGGCCTTCAGATCAAAGTTGGCCTTCTTGTTGGTTCCAGGAGTGTTAGAAAGAACACTGGCGTTTGCATTAAACACAAATGCTGTTCCTTATGAAGGAAAAATACAATAGAAAACAGTAAGGAATCCATTCAGTTGCAATGCATAGAAAAAGACTACATAGAAATTAGATTTAGCGTGATCTAGATTTAGAAGGACGTTACCTGGCGTCTTGGTGCTAGAGAGAACAGAGGTCTTGTTGACTTCACGTTTCCCGCCAACTTTAGTCTCTTTCTTCCCAGGAGTGATGAGGTCCACACGGGGTGACATGCGTGCTCGTGCTGGTGTCTTCACCATGGACCTCTTGTGCTCATTATCCTGAGTAGCCTGAGAGAACCTGAACACAAAACCAACAGTTGGACTTATTCTGTAACATTTCATTCTAGAAAAAGGGGGTCACCTGAACAAAGCCAGTTAGTTCACTTCTATTGTGCAACAACTCATCACACAGGGCATGATGTGAAGTTCATCACAAGTGGTATACCTATAAGCAGCACTGTAAAAGTACATTTACATTTTAGTCATCTTATCCAGAGCGACTTACAGTTAGTGAGTGCATACATTATATTTTTTTATACTGGCCCCCCCCCGTGGGAATCGAACCCACAACACTGGCGTTGCAAACGCCATGCTCTACCAACATCCCCTGCCGGCCATTCCCCTCCCCTACCCTGGACGACGCTGGGCCAATTGTGCGCCGCCCCATGGGTCTCCCGGTCGCGGCCGGCTACGACAGAGCCTGGATTCGAACCAGGATCTCTAGTGGCACAGCTAGCCTGTGGCCTTAGACCACTGCGCCACTCGGGAAGTACTTGGTACTTAACTAAATCAATAATGTTTTTAAAAATACTCACCGAACATTGATCCTGCAAGTGGACAGGACTGTTGGTCTGAATGGAACAACAGTGTCCTTCCGGGGGCTGTTAGTGGCCTGTGACCCGGGTCCGTCTGCTTTTGTCCGTAGCTGGCTTGCTGGCCGAGAGTCTACGTTTGTCTGCGGCAGATTTGCCGGCTGAGACCCGGCTCTGTCTGCATTTGTCTGTGGCAGGTCTCCGGGATGCTGGGCTGAACAGGGAGGCACACCTCGGGGTCGAGATCTGGAAAAACACAAACGATTGATCACGCCAAGCAACAATTGACTTGGAACCACTCATTAAGAACCTAAAAGGTCCAACATGTACTACTTACTGCTGGAGGGTTTCCTTCAGTTGGTTTAGAAAGAGTCTTATCTGACAGAACCTAAAGAATACACAAATACATATAATTAACCATTTGCTAAATGTAGGAATTAGCTACGCAATTTTGTAATTTATAGTTTATTGGGCTTATTATTTGAGATTGAACATCGAACCCCACCTTGACCACAACACAAAACACCTCTATTATAGTTCATTACCTTCAGTTCCTTCACTGAACTTCTGAACAAATCAATTTGCTTGGTCTTCCTTTCCACGTATGAATCAATTGACTCCATCCTCTTGAAATGTGCCTCATGGAGCTTTCTGAAGTCTACAATAGAAAGTGTGTAAATTGTATTTTTTCAGGTCAGAATTTTCACTACTTAGCTTGAGGCTAAATGCATTCCGGACATACATTGTTTCAAGCAAGGACCTGAAAATGTGACCTTGGAGTTTGTGCATGTCTTAGATCATGTAGCTACAGAACATATGATTCAGATGACTAACTTGGTGTAGTAGGCTTCAGCATAGATTTAGTCCTCTTCAGGAGCCCCTCATGGCGAGGGATCTTTCCTACTGGTTTCACCACCTTCTGTCCCACTCCTGTGCAAAGCAATATGAGAATGTGATCAATAATGATTTTTACATTTTAGTCATTTAGCAGATGCTCTTAGCCAGAGCAACTTACAGGAGCAATTAAGGTTAAGTGCCTTGCTCAAGGGCACAGACAGATGTTTCACCTAGTCGACTCTGGGATTCGAACCACCAACCTTTCGGTTATTGGCCCAACGCTCTTAACAGCTAGGCTACCTGCCGCCCTAATGATATATTATTAAAACCAGAGTTGATGCTCACGTAGTCACCCATTTTATAAACAAAAGCCAGGGGACACATCCACGTAACACTTGTGTAAAAATGAGTCTACAAATCATCCTAGTCCACCAGACCAACCTTTCTCAAATGTCACTGCATCTTTGTGGCCAGGTTCAGGCTGCGTCTCAACGTTGGTTTTCTGTGACTCCTCCACTAGTGCTGCCACCCCAGAATCCTTAGCGGCAGACGCTCTCCTTCTCTTAGCACTCCCTTTGGCCGATGCTGGGTTCAGCCAGCTTCTCAAGCATCTAGAGCGATAGTTCAAGTTTGCAATTCTCAGACAAATGCAGAGCAAACGCATATCCTTGATTGACATAGATACATGGAGACCACTGTCAGTACACTAAACATTTTTGTGGGTCTTCTCATACCAAAAGGTTGCTATACCTCTGCTGGGGTGAGTGGCACCATCGGGGCACACACCGGTTCCTCATCTTCTGGCTCCTTCCTCTTCTTCGGTCGCCCTCTACCACGACGTTTGGTTACAAACTCCTGAGTTGGAGGTTTTAGGGAAGGCTCACCATCCTGTGATGAGTAGTTGACTTCCTGTGATGAATTGTTGACTTCCTGGGTTGAGTTGATATCATCCTGTGCAGCAATGCCAGTCTCATCTTCCTGCAAAAATACACAACCAGAGGTTTGCTACTAGCTGTAAAATTACAATGCAAAACATACCTAGTTATAAAACATACAGAAACAAATGAAAGTTAAGGAGAAATCAAAGTCTACATTGCAGATCATCTGTAGCTCAATTGGTAGAGCATGGCGCTTGTAACGCCAGGGTAGTGGGTTCGATCCCCGGGACCACCCATACGTAAAAATGTATGCACACATGACTAAGTCGCTTTGGATAAAAGCGTCTGCTAAATGGCATATTATTATTATTATTATTATGTAGAAGTGTGATAAGCCACGTTTTTAAATGTCAAGTGCACAAAAACAGTGAAATGCCTTTCTTGCAAGCTCTTATCCCAACAATTCAGTAATCAATATCAATGCAGTAATCAAAATCAATGCAGTAATCAATATCAATGCAGTAATCAATATCAATGTAGTAGTATAACGTAAAATAGAACAAAAACAAACGAGAAATAGGATAATTTGAACACAAGTTGGAGGGCATCAAGCCAGAACTTAACGTACGTCCACTGCAACATCTTCCTGCGGTTTGTCTTGCTGGAAGTGCTCCTTGAGCGCCTTCAGAAGCTTATCAGCCTTTGTAATTGACACATAAAACACAGAGTTAGCTAGGTACATTGCACAACAACGTGGTGGATAATATAGTAAGTTTTCCCACGGTGGGCCAGTATGAAAAAATAAATAAAAATACAAAATAAATACATGTATGCACTCACTAACTGTAAGTCGCTCTGGATAAGAGCGTCTGCTAAAATGTAAATGTCAACTAGCTAGTTGGCTAACGTTAGCTAGCTAGCGTTATCTAGCTAACGCACAAACAACCCAATGCAGTAACGTTACTGTTTGCAATTTACTGTACCTTCAGTTTTGAGGTTTTGAGCCCAACCTCCTTTGCAAGGCTGCGCAATTCGGCATACTTCATGGAATCCAATTCCATTTTTCTTATTTCAGCTAAAACAAATGAGCTTGCCAATGGAACACGTTTTACTAAACCGCTCCGTTTATTTGATCGAGTAACTCACAGACACAGTCAACTTATTTGTCGCGCCTGACGGTTAAAATGCTGAGGTTCAAAAAACTGGAGTATAAGCCATTTGATTGGCTGGCGGATGTACACGGAAGTACCTCGCAACCAATCAAAACTAATTTCTAGTGGCACCTTAGGTTCTCCGCTAGATGGCAATAAAACCACGGGGAAAAAACAACCGAAGACACTTGAACTAGATGCGTTTCTATGTCAGAAGTTGTACAACGTGACATTTGAAATAAAATAAAATAATAGTAAATGTATGATTTCGAGTCATTTCAATCCTTCGATACAGATGATCAAAAGTAGGCCGTCATTGTAAATAAGAATTTGTTCTTAACTGACTTGCCTAGTTAAATAAAGGTAAAATAAAAATAAATGATCAAAAGCTGGAGAATGAGACCAAGCCATTGTCTGGAATCCAGCGACTTTCCATTGTGGACGATGCAACAGAGTGTGGGCTGATTCCCGAGGGATCTGTGAAGAGGCAACATGTCAACTCACTCAATGTGTCTTAGTAAGTTGCTTCATTACAACTAGCTAGTTAACGTTAGGTGTTTAATGTTTTGCTAACAATAAATCAAATGGAATATTACTAGTGTATTTACGTTGTCAGTTTTATAAAGAGGGGGAACACTAACGTAGCGCCGAGACCCCTACAGCAGGGATGACCAACAGGCGGCCTCCCTTTTGAAGGCCCTCGGATCAATTCCCCCCCCCCACCCCCCTAAATGTGGTTGTTCATCAACAGGTTTTATTTTCTTATGTCAGTCACTGATAGTCACTCAATTAGCCCATGTCAGCTAACATTTTTTAGATTGGTAATTTAGTCTAACAGCCAGCAATCTAAATGTATAGTAATCAAGGTCGAATTAGAGCTGGGGGCCCCCATTGATATTGTTAGTCAGTCCCATTCAGATATCATATTAAAATCTGCAAGCATTTCTCTCCACCCTATGGCAACATTTTGGTGAATTGCACGAAATGAACTCCAAAACTAAAACAATTGCTACATCTTCTCATCGCCCCATAGCAAAATGTGTAGAATTGCCAGTGGTGTAAAGTACTTAAGTAAAAATACTTTAAAGTATTACTTAAGTAGTTTTTTGTGGTATCTGTACTTTACTTTACTACTTATATTTCAGACAACTTTTACTTTTACTTCACTACATTCCTAAAGAAAATGATGTACTTTTTACTCCATACATTTTCCCTGACACCCAAAAGTGCTCGTTACATTTTGAATGATTAGCAGGACAGGAAAATGGTCCAATTCATGCACTTATCAAGAGAACATCCCTGGTCATCTACTGCCTCTGATCTGGCAGACTCACTAAACACAAATGCTTCGTTTGTAAATGATGTCTGAGTGTTGGAGTGTGCCCCTGGCTATCGGTAATTAAAAATAAATAACAAATTGTGCCGTCTGCAACTATGGCCCCTCATCATGAGTTCAGATGTTTTTGTGGCTCCCACCCCCATCAAAGTTGCCCATGCTTCTTCCTGATGTCGTAGCGCCTACTAGCGGCTGCCCAGGCTAGCACTAGCGTTCTTCAAGCTACATGTGCCAAAAAAGTCCAGACCCTTGGCATTCGGGAAAGTATTCAGACCCCTTGACTTTTTCTACATAGAATGTAATGTATGCATCATATCCCAACTCTCTAAATACATGGTCCCCTGTAGCTCAGTTGGTAGAGCATGGCGCTTGCAACACCAGGGTTGTGGGTTCGTTTCCCACGGGGGGCCAGTATGAAAAATGTATGCACTCACTAACTGTAAATCGCTCTGGATAAGAGCGTCTGCTAAATGACTAAAATGTAAATGTAATTGTTCTGAAGTCTGTTCCATTCCAGCTGAACAGCTCATCCAATGGAAAGTCAGCTTGACAATGTGTCAGCAGTGATGGATGACAGCCGCACTGATGAAGTGACCTCATCTGTCCATTAGTCACGGTGCATTCATGATAAGTCCGAAACTCGGAGCCTCAGAGTTAAAATGAACGTAAGTTATTTGCGTAGAGCTTCCTATTGTTTGATGCTGATACTCAGGCCTCATTTTCCCACGAGTTTCCGAGTCGTCTTGGAACACAGCGTCAGATGATCCTACCTGGGTCTTATTCATAAGGGCACACTGTAGCAAAACGTTTTGAAAGTGTTTATTGCACAAGTTCAGATAGTATGTCCATGTTTTGGAGTGTTTTCTTCTGTTTCGTGCCTACTGAACCCTGACCCTGTTCTGTTTCAGTTTTCCATCAACAGCACTGTATTCTCTTGTTCCATGTTCTCAGTTTGTATTAAGTACTTTCTTGTAGCCTGGGTACCAGTATTTTTTGTGCCATCATGCCACTCCTGGGAGTAGTTTTACAAAAATGGATGATTTAGAAAGTGAAACGAAGAGTTTCTTCCTTGAGATGGTTTAATAAGTAGCTACCTCATATTCTACTGGTTGTGTTTTCCTTTTAGTAGTTCCTAATGCTAAATGGAACTATACTTGATCACTGTTTCCTACTCATGTGAAGCTGGATGACTGAGACATGGCTTGTTGTGTTTTTATATTCTTCTGTTCAGGTATTAACTGATATGATAACCAATAAACGGGTCTCAGTTGCATGAACATGTTGCATCTAAAGTGTTGTTTGGAAAACCCTGCAATATAATACATTAATGTTTGCTATCACTGAGAGGCGGTAGGCGTCTCCTGAGAGGCAGGACCATTCCTTTTATGTTAATGTATGCATTGAAGAGTTCAGACCTTGGTAGGGAATTGGGACTCAGGAATGAGGAGAAGACGTGAAGAAGATGAGGAGAAGATGTGAAGAAGTGCGTTGTAATGCCACACAAACCAGTCCAGTCATTCGTGCTATTGGCACCATGCTGCTTTTTATTGCTGAATTTCTGATGCAAATTTCTTCAGTTAATACACAAACAGACGGGAGACTCCGTTGCTCCAGCATGCCCAGGGCCTCTCTCTGGAGTGGATAGTCACACCACAACCCACAGTCAACTCATTCTGTTGGTTATTAGTAATACTTGATCAACAGCCTGAAATCCAGTCTTTACGCCCCGTCATCCCACTCCTTGTCATCCCAATTATAGCACAAACAGACTGGATTTCAGGCTGCGATCAACGTCATACATCTTTTATCACAACGGGAGAACAAGTGGTTACAGTGTGTTCACTGTAATGTCAACAACCATCCCTGTTATTCAAGACAGGTCAACATATTACTAACTTATACCATAGTGCCACAATATCAACCTTTCAGCATCATAGCTCTATTGATCAACACAAATTACGAAATTGATTATTGCATGCAATACAAATAATTGATTACTTTTAATCATGCATAATCTTTTCTCCTTGCATTAATATAGTTTAAATTATCAATAAATTCTAGAGCTACTTATCCTAACCATTGCCACATTATGTAGCGTTAAAATTTGTTTTTAGAACACAGTATTCAAGACAGGATGATGGTAGTGAATTAATTCATGCATGTAAAGAAAGTTTTACAGCATTTTCTGTTCAGTCGTTTCTCCTTGAGGCAGCTCTATTGCTTTCAATTATTAGGAAGGATGCATAATAATTCACATGAATACATATAGTTCGATTGATATGGACAATGGTGCAACATGTTAACAGAATGTAAACCATGAAAGAGGCATTAACACAGGCCTCCTAAATCAGTGGTTCTTAGTTCTTTACAGAGTGATACTCTATGATTCCGAGGCTACCTCCCAAATGGCACCCTATTCCCTACATAGTGCACTACTTTTGACCAGAGCCCTATGGGCCCTGTATCTATGGACCTTGGTCAAAAGTAGTGCACTAGTACCATAGGGGATGTAGCTTGAACGTTGAATTGCCCCAGAATACACAGACAGACTGTTTTGCCAATTCAAAGGTCAGCCGTTCTGTTTCAACATGTGATACTTCACACCCTGTTGGGTGGTTCTTACTTGGAACATACTGCATTCTAAACCAGAGTATACACCATGGCTCTTCCCTCTAAACACAAAGTTGATTATGTAGCTACTAATATACTAAACATTCCTTTAAACAGAGATTACAATAGATCAAATAACCTGAAAATCGTGCAGAATTGTTTATTGCTTCTAAAATTTCTAATCAAATGCTTGCTTTTTACTGAATATATTCTCATATTCTAGATCATTATTTTATTGGTCAATGACGAAGGCTATGTTTCCACAGGAAAGCCCAACTCTTAATATGTTGTCCAATTATTGGCAAAATAGCCGATCTGATTGGTCAAAAGACCAATTAGTGGAAAAAGATCTGAATTGGGCTGCCTGTGTAAATGCAGCCTAACACACTGGATGTCAACACTTCATGTCTGATTCTAAGGTGTCAATTCCATAGAACACAATTTAGATAGTACTAGATAATTGTATCTCTGTGGTTAATTCACTCCGAATAGATTTAACAATTTAACCATTCTCCCAAACATGTTCTGTTTTAAGAAATCAATGTTTCTAGAATTTCCTTATCAGTAAGCAAGCATCACTAGCTACCTTTCATGCATGGCTAATTATAATATTGGCACCACAATCCCTCTAAATAAGCTAATGCATATGAAGACTATACAATATTTCTTAATGGAAGACGTTGGTAATTTTGTTGTTTTCAAACAACTTGTCACTTGTTCATACAATATTACATATTTAGATCAACATCAAGACAAGTAATAAGATACCATATTGCACATTATCCCGGAAGGAAAGGAGGTGGGGGACCACAAATGATGCAGAACAAAACCGGCCCTAATGAAACAGAAATATAAACCCACCTTAACCCTATGGGCCTGTTTCCCAGATACAGATTAAGCCTAATCCTGGACTAGAAAGCTTTTTCAATGGAAATTCTCCATGCTTTTTAGTCATCGACTAGGACTGTGTGTCTGGGAAACCGGCCCTATAACTAAAATAACATCATCTGGGACTCTATGCCGTTCATAAAACTCTGATAAGGTTATCAAATGTGCAATACGGTGTAAGAATGGATCAATACGGTGTAAGAATGGATCAATATGGTGTAAGAACGGA